TAAGACCTGTCAATGTACTTTAGTATTTAAAAAGATTCAAAGAATATAAATAGTAAATATAATTGTGCTGTTTCAAGCTCAACCTCCTTTACTACAATAAATACCAAAACGCTAACAATAAAAGTTGAAATATAATTTATTAACTTATAATGTGCTTGACTTTGGATAGGGTCAACATTTTGGTTTTCTTGCACCAGACCTCTTATATAAAATCCTTGTGAAAAAATTCAAACTAAAAAAAAAAAAAAAAAGAAGAAAACAAAGCTTGTTTTAGTTTTATAACACAGCAACTGCCCAGATTATCATTTACATTTTATTCACATATAATTTTGCTAGAAGCATGAATAGAGGAGTTTGGTAGCTCAACATAGTCACTTCTATAAATGTACTGGATTCAAATGCTGGGGTCAGGCCCAATGCTAAGCAAGGCCTCTTATGGCTGCATATATGTGTAGAGATGGTGGGGTTAATTTATTCAAGGCAAATAGGCTGTTTAAATTGCGGGGGAGTATGCTTTTTTAGCAGAGGAGGTGTCGCCTTAGTTTAAGGAATGAGGTGAAGCTTTGCTGACTCAATCACCCAATCATGGGTTGTTTTTTTTTCCTTGCACATGATTGAGTATTCTTTGTGAAGTGAAATTCCACCACATTCGCCAAGCTAAGGGAGATTTCCCCTGCAAAGTGCAAATTCCCTTGCAAAGTGAACAGCCAATTTGCCTTTAGAAAATCAACTTCGGTATCTGTATTCTGTGTGGTTGATCTGGCCAATTTCCACCAAAGACGGAGCATCATTAATTCATATGAATGTCAAACTTTTATTGCAAATACAACAGAAAATATCTATTTTGCTTTCAATACCATTTACTTATTCCTCTGAAAACATCCAACTGGGCCAAAATTTCAAAAGTAAGAAATATAATAAAATGGTACAGCAAAAGAATTTCGCCCAGAAACTATTTTTAGTACAATATGACATGATGCATTTTTTTGGATGCCACTCCCTATAATTAATTACTTAATACAACATAATATTTATATTACCTGAGGTCATAACATTTAATAAAAAGGAAATTATATTTCTATAGCTAGATGAGGTTTACAGGCCAAATACAAACTTTATTAGTAACAAAACAGATAAAGCTAGATATTTTTTTCTAACTGCATCTGAACAGTCACAATCCATCACTCTCTACTTGGACAATATAAGTAATATATAATTAATTCATCAGGAAATTGTAAATGCCAAGTTAAGGACCTAATGGTTACAAAGGCATACCGCAGTGGCACTCCCATATAATCTGGAAGCATGTGCTGGTAACGTGTAAGGATCTCATAACAGCAGCAGCCACTCTCTAAATCCTTGGTTCTCAAATGGTGGGTCGTGACCCAAAAGTGGGTCGCGACCCCGTGTTCAGTGGGTCGCCATGTGCCTTCCACTTTTCTAGGTGAGAGTCTCTTAGCCTCCTCCTAGCGCAGCCCTGTCAATTCTCACATAGAGCAGCCATTCAGAATATGGTGCCTGGCGTCGAGGTGAGTGGGCTGGAGATAGGGCCATGAGGGAGCTCCATCCATGAATGCATTGCTTAAAGCTCCCTCACATGTCCTGTAGAGTGCCGTCATCCTCCCTCTTGTCTCCACTTTTCTATCAGGAGCAGCAATGAATATTTTCCGGTATTGACACTATGTTTACCCAGGATGAACTTCGTTTCAATTATTCGGTCATGCTTTTCGCTTATTGGGAGTTATACATTTGTGCAAATTTGGAGCTGCTGTCCGGATTTATGTTTATGAACTATTGTATCTGTAAAATGTATTTCTTAATTTACTATTGCTGTACCTGAAAACTTTTCTAAATAAATAGAACTTTTTCTACTGAAAAATTATACATAATGCATACAAGGGGGTTAGCTTTTATAAAAATGCTTTTAATCTGGGATCCTGGGAATAAGCTTTAAATCAATAGCAGGTGTATTAAACACACTTTCCTCCTTGAAATATTTTTAAGCTGTGGATCACTATGCATGTCTAATTTCAAATTTGTGCTGCTCAGGCAGCAAATGGTCTACACATTGGGATGAAATCATAGTGGATGGGCGCCACCTTCTAAGACCTGTCAATGTACTTTAGTATTTAAAAAGATTCAAAGAATATAAATAGTAAATATAATTGTGCTGTTTCAAGCTCAACCTCCTTTACTACAATAAATACCAAAACGCTAACAATAAAAGTTGAAATATAATTTATTAACTTATAATGTGCTTGACTTTGGATAGGGTCAACATTTTGGTTTTCTTGCACCAGACCTCTTATATAAAATCCTTGTGAAAAAATTCAAACAAAAAAAAAAAAAAAAAAGAAGAAAACAAAGCTTGTTTTAGTTTTATAACACAGCAACTGCCCAGATTATCATTTACATTTTATTCACATATAATTTTGCTAGAAGAAAGAATAGAGGAGTTTGGTAGCTCAACATAGTCACTTCTATAAATGTACTGGATTCAAATGCTGGGGTCAGGCCCAATGCTAAGCAAGGCCTCTTATGGCTGCATATATGTGTAGAGATGGTGGGGTTAATTTATTCAAGGCAAATAGGCTGTTTAAATTGCGGGGGAGTATGCTTTTTTAGCAGAGGAGGTGTCGCCTTAGTTTAAGGAATGAGGTGAAGCTTTGCTGACTCAATCACCCAATCATGGGTTGTTTTTTTTTCCTTGCACATGATTGAGTATTCTTTGTGAAGTGAAATTCCACCACATTCGCCAAGCTAAGGGAGATTTCCCCTGCAAAGTGCAAATTCCCTTGCAAAGTGAACAGCCAATTTGCCTTTAGAAAATCAACTTCGGTATCTGTATTCTGTGTGGTTGATCTGGCCAATTTCCACCAAAGACGGAGCATCATTAATTCATATGAATGTCAAACTTTTATTGCAAATACAACAGAAAATATCTATTTTGCTTTCAATACCATTTACTTATTCCTCTGAAAACATCCAACTGGGCCAAAATTTCAAAAGTAAGAAATATAATAAAATGGTACAGCAAAAGAATTTCGCCCAGAAACTATTTTTAGTACAATATGACATGATGCATTTTTTTGGATGCCACTCCCTATAATTAATTACTTAATACAACATAATATTTATATTACCTGAGGTCATAACATTTAATAAAAAGGAAATTATATTTCTATAGCTAGATGAGGTTTACAGGCCAAATACAAACTTTATTAGTAACAAAACAGATAAAGCTAGATATTTTTTTCTAACTGCATCTGAACAGTCACAATCCATCACTCTCTACTTGGACAATATAAGTAATATATAATTAATTCATCAGGAAATTGTAAATGCCAAGTTAAGGACCTAATGGTTACAAAGGCATACCGCAGTGGCACTCCCATATAATCTGGAAGCATGTGCTGGTAACGTGTAAGGATCTCATAACAGCAGCAGCCACTCTCTAAATCCTTGGTTCTCAAATGGTGGGTCGTGACCCAAAAGTGGGTCGCGACCCCGTGTTCAGTGGGTCGCCATGTGCCTTCCACTTTTCTAGGTGAGAGTCTCTTAGCCTCCTCCTAGCGCAGCCCTGTCAATTCTCACATAGAGCAGCCATTCAGAATATGGTGCCTGGCGTCGAGGTGAGTGGGCTGGAGATAGGGCCATGAGGGAGCTCCATCCATGAATGCATTGCTTAAAGCTCCCTCACATGTCCTGTAGAGTGCCGTCACATTCTGGCCCTCGGCACCTCTACAGGGCGCGCAAGGGAAATGTACATGCAATGCATATGTGAATGGAGCTCCGTCACAGCACAGCAGCCCAGCACTGGACCCCCGGCTGAGAATCCACTCCAGTTCTCGTAATGGCACCCCAAACACACCTACCGCCCACAGTTTAAGCGCCCGCACCGGAACACACGGTACCGCAATGCTGTGCGTTCCATTGCAGTGCGACTTGAGTCACCACTTAATGACCTGAGGTTACACAGGTTGAGAACCACTGCTCTAAATAAATGCATTAAGAGCAGTGAACTATATAAACATATATAATCTATTAAAGGGGAACTCTGGCCACAAAAACACCCCCAAAATCTGAATGAAATGCTTGCTCTTGCAAAAAAAAAAATAAACAATATTTACTTTACTCCAATTCCCTGCTTTCTAGCACTGAAATGTGGGCGGTGTTTTTACTAGTGCCAAGTCATGTGGCCGCTGGTTCGCACCAACTACACTGCAGGCATGACGACAACGATGAGGGGGTCGTCAACAAGACCGGCAGGAGATCAGTTGTCACAACTGGAACTGGCAGGAAGAAAGATTGTGGCATGTGGATTAAGTTATTAGTGAGCTTTATCCAATCCCCATGTAAAAGCAAGCAATATGAGGTGGGGGCAGGTTGGAGTCAATTTTGTTTCTGTGTACTATGAGCAGAGTTGGGCTTTAAGGTAAAATTCAATTGACTTTTTCTGTATTGTTAAATAGATAGCCTCCACCAAATATTACGCTGCTGATGAAATGGGCAGGAGCACCACATAGAATGAATAGAAAATATTTTCTGCTTGCATGTGGATATATAAACCCAGAGAAATAAAAAGTGCCCATTGTCAAAAGCAACCAGATTTCAGAGCTTTTGTTACTAAGGTATGAAAATAAAATTACTCCCTTTCCAATTTGTTTTAGAATTCTAGCTTTACCAAACATTTTTTTTTTTTTTTTTTACAAAGGCTGTGCTAAACACCAAAAAGTGTATAAGCTTTAAAAACCTTTAATTTGTCCACAACATATGCATCATATGATTTACTGTAGTAATATCTATAATACATTGCCTAGCACTGGATGTCTACTTTAATACAACATTTGTTTATGTCAGGGATCTGTTAAAAATTCACCTAGCTATATTTAGTACATTTTAGTGAACACCTGTACTGAGAGAACTACATAGGCTGCCGCTGCTGACTTCCGTCTGGAAATACAAGTTGTATGTCGGTCTCTGACTTCAATACGTTAAGCCATTGGCCTGGAAAAAAGCATGCAAATTAGGAAAGGCCCAGTGAAGTCAAAACTCCTAATATGCATACTAGCTCCAGGTCAGTGATCTAGAATATCCAGAAGGTGCTTGATCAGCACAGCCACCAGAGAACTTGTGTTTTCAAAGGTAAGGTCAACAAGGGTAGCCTTCATGCTTTTTCAGTAAAAGTCTTAAGTGCCATAGGCTAGAGTCTGAAACCGAGGCCTTACATACATGGACCATAAACTGACATCTGCATTTCTGTAAAACTGCAAAATACCTAACAGAACACACAGTTACTGTTGCCAGCATTTTCCTTTACAAAGTTCATGAGTAGACAAAATGGCAGACAGTGTTGTCTTGTCCTTCTTCACCTGCCACAATAAATCTAAGATGTATTGAGTTATTTTGCATCACTATCCTGCTCTGATGTGGAGCTAGTAGGCTGTACATTTTCTGCTAGGCTGTGAGCATGCTCCAGAAACAAGTCCTTCAGTACACTCAATTCTTTGGTGAGTAGCTTGATTTTTGACTCCAATCTTTCATTTTCTTCTTTCAGCTGGTTGACTCTTTGCATTGTGTCTTGAGCTTTTTGTTTGCTCTTTAATCTGCTCTTTTTCACAGCCATATTGTTTCGCTCTCTGCGCAGACGGTATTCTTCAGTGCTACGGTCTGACCGCTGTCCTTTCTTGCTGGTTTTGCTGGGAGGAGTGGCTTTACCTCCTCCTCCTGGGTTTAGAGGCACAAGCTGTGGACTGGCTGGGCTGCTTGGTTGGGAATCTCCAAGGCCTTCAGCTATATCACGTGGGGATACATTCATTTTAAATGAGCCTTGCTGGTGCTGAATGCAGTAGGGGTGATCTGACTGATGAGCTGTAACAAATAAAATAAAAAATGAATTAGTACAACAAAATTTATTGAACCCTCATTTCCAGCTGTACGCATATATGTGGCGGTACGGACCGGACCTTATGCCGTGCTACCACATACTGTATATGCTTATTTGTGTTTGTGCTGGGAGAACATTTGATCGTGTGCCCCAGCACAGTCACTAAGTTCATCTAGGAAGGACTAGCGATCATGTGATCATCGTGAGAGCCATTCACAGTGATCACATGATTAGGAGGCTTCCCCTGTATCTCTTACTCCTCAGTCTGTGACCGTAAAGAGATACATTGCATCTTGTTCACAAAAAACAGTAAAAAAATAAATTAATAATTATAAAATGCATATATCAGGGCTTGATCTAGGTTAGTGTTAGTAACAGTATCAGTGTGTTTTAGGTAGGATAAATAGATATAAAACCTTTTTTTTTTTTTTAGATCTATTACCATGGGGGTGTAGTGTGTGATCATGTGTCTATAGTGTCAGCGTGTTATAATAGGATAAAAGTTTACGTTTATCAATTAACAAAATGGAAAGTAAATGAACAGAAGAGAAATCCAAATCAAATCAATATTTGGTGTGACCACCCTTTGCCTTCAAAACAGCATCAATTCTTCTAGGTACACTTGCACACAGTTTTTGAAGGAACTCTGCTAGTAGTTTGTTCCAAACATCTTGGAGAACCACAGATCTTCTGTGGATGTATGCTGCCTCATATCCTTCTGTCTCTTCATGTAATCCCAGAAAGACTCAATGTTGAGATCAGGGCTCCGTGGGGACCAAGCCATCACTTCTAGGACTCCTTGTTCTTCTTTATGCTGAAGATAGTTCCTAATGACACTGGCTGTATGTTTGGGGTCGTTGTCCTGCTGCAGAAAAAATTTGGGGCCAATCACACGCCTCCCTGTTGAATAAGCATCTGCTTGTATTTCTCAACATTGAGGACACCATTGATCCTGACCCAATTTCCAACTCTATTGGCAGAAATGCAGCCCCAGACTTGCAAGGAACCTCCACCATGCTTCACTGTTGCTGAGGACACTCATTATTGTACCGCTTTCCATCCCTATCGTACGATAATCGGCAGGTGTATGGCCACCTTAAGAATTGATGGTTTGAAGGCAAAGGGTGTTCACACCAAATATTGATTTGATTTAGATTTCTCTTCTGTTCTTTTATTTTCCATTTTGTAAATTAATAAAAAAATTTACAATACAAATATTTTTTTTGAAAGTATTCTTAATTCACAGAATTTTTTCCACACTCTACAAACATTTGTGAAAGAATGGGCTGCTCTCAGGAGCTCAGTGAAAAGTGTGGTACCGTGGTAGGTTATTCCACGGTCAACTGTTAGTGGTATTATAACAAAGTGGAAGCAACTGGGAACAACAGCAACTCAGCCACAAAGTGGTAGGCCACGTAAAATGAAATGCCACCTAAAGAAAGCTCCATCTGTTCCTAAAATATGGTATACAATTAATTTCAGTACAGCGCTGCATGAGGGAATACATGTCAGTCAAAGTACCGCAGCACTGAATACTGAAAAATGGCATGGCCAGGAAGGGGGTTTAACACCGCGGAATTCAAGTGGTTAATAAGAGTATCTGAAAAAGGTGTGTTTATTTAAATTTTTCAAGCACTCCCATTTAAAAGTCTATGGGGCCAAAAACACAAATTCTGTTCATGTACTACAGGTTGCGTGTAAAAAAAACACTCCAAAAACCTCTACTTCTCCTGGCTATGCAAAAGTTTAGCAAGCAAAAGTAGGGAATGGAGGGTTTCCAGAGAGGTATAAAAGGCAATGACATACATACATACATACACATATATATATATATATAT